ACTTAATGGGCGGCTGCGATTTCATTAGTAAAATTATGAGTAATTCCGGCTTAATTTATTTTAGCCAATCAAAATCGTGGATCTGCCGCACATTTTTTGTGCGGCACCTAGGTTCAATAGTACGATCTCCTGCTGCGTTGCAGTTTAGAGTTATTTGTTTAATAGTTTGTGTTTATTATTATTATTAGTTTTATTTTATATATTTGTTAAGTTCGTGTTTTTGATAATTTATTTATTTGAAATTTTTGTATTTTGTAATATGTGTCGTTTAGTGTTTTGTTGTTTACATTGTTTTGGGTTCTGAATTTGGGAATTTAGTTATTTAAAATTTTTTTGATGTTTTTTTTTGGGAGTGTTATTTTGTGTAATATTTTTATTATTATTGCTTTGGTTATTATTGTCTTTATTATTTTTCCTTGTTTATTTATTATAATTTATTGTTTTGTAAATTTGGGAGTTTTTTTATGAGTTCACATGAATCTTTATACTTTAATTTTTATTATAGTTTATTTGATTCAGGTATTAATTTTATTTATTATTTACTGAGTTTTGATATTATTCTGTTTTGTTTTATTTTTTTTGAGTTAGTTAGAATAATATTGAGCGTTTTTTTTGCGCATCAACTTCCGAATCGCAGCATTGGATACAAAATACTAATTTTCGATAACCGGTTAGTAAGTTTAATTAAGAAATATGATAATTAAAGGGAATAATATATATGTTGTGCTCTAAATTGGAATTGTCCCAATTCAGAATCGGGACGTTCCCAGATGAGAATTTTGTAACTTTGGCTAACATTATGCTAATCAAAAACTAAAAGTTTTTATTCTAACCCTAATTCTAACCCTAACGCTAAAATTCCCATCCGATAAGCCTGATTCTGAATCGGGACGATTCCAATCTGGGGTACGACATATGTTTATACTTATATGTATATATTTATGTACGTAAAGGTTATGCATAAATAAAATTTATAATAAGGTACAGAGTTACGGAATTTTAAAGTTAAGTTACAATACTTAAAATATTTTACGACATAAGTATATAAATCAAGTTACAACTTAGTTACGATACAGCACGTCCAAATCTATTGCATCTCCAGTTGGCCTGAATTTTAGTTAGCGTTGGCTAGAGGTAGTTTTCGGCGAAACGGCTGTCAACAATACGATTGCCATATATCTGATATGTGTATGAACTAATTATGTTGACATAGATCATTACTTTGTCATAATGCATGATCTTATTAGCCACTTATTTTCCTTTGCATGATAAACTATCGCTCTTTTTAATTTAGTTGGATCGACGATCTGCATAATTTGTTTTTTTAGAGTACTTTTAACTCATTTTAATTATTAATATATTTTCATTTTATTGATAAGTTTCACAAATACGGCGAATATAAAAATGGTTGTATTCACGGACTCAGGCTCAAAAAAAAAAAAAAAAAAAAAAAAAAACATCTAGATCGTCGATCCAACTACGTAAATCGAAAGAGTGATAATTATATGCCGTAATTGGTCGTAATTTGTTTACAAAAACTCAATTATATCGTTATCTAATAATCATTCGAGTCGTCTCAATGAGATGAACGGATGGTACCAAAATAATCCAATTCGAATCACTGGATCACAAGGTATTTGCAAATAATCGTTATCGTTCTCTGTACATTTTTACCAATAACATGAATGTGGAAAGTGATCATGCTTATCATAATTGTACGTACGTACGTACGTATGTAAATGCCACAAACAAGTTGTGAAAATAAATACTCAATTTTTTTTTATTTTTTATTCATATCAACAAACATCAATAAACATAATTTCATTTTAATCCAAAGAATATTCATTAAACTAAGCATTTAAATACAAATTCATAAACCTAAATAAAATAGACTATTAGAGTTTTATTTTATTTACATAATTAGCTTGTAATATAAATAAAAGATTTACCAATATTAATATTCAGAATAAGCTATTCAAATTTATGGATGTTTATTTATTTTAGATTGTGAGTATCAAAAAATTTATAATTTTACTTATAAATTAAGAATTTAAAATAAGCTCTATTTTATTAGCGATAATTTAGTGTATGAGCATAAAAAGCATTTATTAATCTAAGTATTTAATTTCATTAGAGTGAATCAAAGTTAATGATCAGGTTATTTCGAAATCCCTGCTTTACTTTTTCAGTTTCAGATTAACGGGGATAACTTGAGCAAAGATTTTTATTGTTATTTCCGCTATCTGAAATTGAAAAAAATAGGATAGCGGGTGCTGTGCTTATTTTTCACATTTTATGGTATCATTTTTTTTCGGAAATCTATAATCGCCAATCACGGGAAATGTTTAATTTTCTCATGATCATGATTGACCAATAAAATTTATGTTTTCGATTTCGAATTTCGATATACTGCGCCAGAAATAAGATTGCTAAAACTTTTTACAGCGAAATTTTTATAAAAATATTTACTAATAACTTTATATGTAGCAGAGCTTTACAAAATGATCGGTCAGTTTTTTTTAAAAAAAATACTTCTATAAAGAGCTATGGCGATTTTAAAGATTGCTTCTTTTTTAACTTCTTATAAAGAAATTTTTTTAAAAAAACTGATCGATAACTTTAGAGCTCAGTTCAGTTTATATAGAAAATTTATCTTAATTATTCATTGTAATATGCTTAATGATAATCTATCGAAAGATGACACTATCTAACAGATATTAAGATTTTAACTGTAAAGTGAAGTTAGAGACTTACCCGATTCCTTATTTATATACAGTATACCTATTTTTGATTTCCGATTCCTTTTTCATTAATTGAATTTATATATCTTAGATATGTTGTCAAATTTTAATATTTTGTTTGTCACTTACCAATAATGGAAATTGATTGTACCATGCACATAAAGCTAAAAAAAAAAAAGTAATGCAAATAATACGTAGATATATATATCTGAGCGAGGCAATTTACGTAAAAAAGATGAAAGATGGCTAACTGCTAATGAATTTAGAAAGATAGTTAATGAATTTAGAAAGATGGCTAATGAATTTATTTAATTGTTACACATTATTATAATTGATTGAGTATTTGATCGGAAGGAATTCTGAGAAAAGATTATTTCTCTCCTACTTAAAAAATAAAAATAAATCATAAAGAAATAAAAGAAAATGGGTTTTCAGATTGGACCTTCAATTTGTGTTCTCTTGACAGTTTTGATATTTTTCCTTTGTCTCTTTACCTTTAAAGATGCTCCTAAGATTACCCTTTCTCAAGATACAAACTATTTTTTTGGCTATCCAGTATGGCATCCACCGATCAAAGGTATATAATAATTTGTATCTATTTATGATATTATATTTTTTTTAATGTAAATTGCATTTAACAAAATTTGAATTATTCATTAAAGGGCACGATGCAAACAACAAATACTATAGTGTAATATCATTCTGCACTCTCCTAATGGCGATCACTTGCTATTTAGGTGCAAGGTGGACGGTATTTCCTCCAACCGTTCGTAAACTTTAAACTTATTTTATCAGTTGCGACTCTGCTCCAGTTTCAGCTTACTACTTTAATCGTCTTTTGGTTATTTATAATTTTAATACAATATTTACTGTGGCTGCTCTTCTTATATTTGATCTTGGTAAACTTTGGGCGGGAGCGATAGGGATGATTCATAATGCCACCGAATTTGTTGTTTTGGTTTTTATAGGATCTGGTGGAAGGATTAAAAGTATTAATTTTTATGGTTTTCTTTTGTGTTATATATTTTTCGTTTATTTCGGTTCTCTTTTCTTCGATTGGCCTTATGATGCTGTTTGGTTCAAATTCCAAGGTACTGTAACGATCATTTTTATATTTAAAACATAAAATTCGATTATTAATACATTTAAATTTGTATCATAATAGGTCTCTGCTTTGATTATTCAATTATGATCACTTTCATCCGTATCTATATTAACACTAGGCATGAACTTAATCATGGCGATGGTGCTGAACGTATGCCTCTTGCTAATGATGAGGCAGAACTTGATCATTTGCATGGTCATGAACAACAATATGATCATGTTCATCATCCAAATCAACTTTTGTTATTAGTTTTTGCTTCAACCTTTCACAATGTTGGTAACCTCTTTGCCACTGTTTCCATTGAAGATATAAATCCGTAAGTATTATTAATTTTGAGTAGAATGTATAATTTAATCCATATCTCTAAACTTTATATACTTTGAAATTAATTCTCAACAAATAGCACCGTTTTAGCATTGTTAACCGGCTATGCTGTCACATATCCAGCTTACATGTATTATATATATGTAGACACTCACGCTGCAAGTATTTATCCTACAAAACGTATTTACTTGCCTTCCACTCCGGGCTGGAAAAAATTCGTTATTGCTACAATAGCAATTTGTGGTGCACTATTGACTTGTCGTTTATGTGCGTTTTTGCATGCTAAAAAAGTTCAAAGTGATAATAACCTTAATGTTATTTTTTGATTGTTTATACATTGTATATTTAGATCAGCATAAAAATTTCCATAGCATGTTCATAAAATTAGGTTAAAGACTTAACACTGTTTATATTGAAATAAATTGAAATATAAATTGAAATTCAGTTTGGATTCATTTTATTTACTGTTAGTACCTGGACATTCCAATAACAATTGGCTAGAAAGTTTTAGTCAGCTGAATCTCGGCTGATCAAGAAATTATTTAACATGACCGGTAAAAAACTGTAGAATTATAGAATTAATGATTTACTTAGCCTAATATCCATGTGATTAAAACCCTTGGCCAAAGTTTGACCAAAACTCTGGCCAAAAATATTTTGCATAGTAACTATCCATTGCTAATATCCTACTAGAAACTGGAAACCGGCATAAGTCCAAACCCCAAAATTTTTATATTGATTTAATGGCCTCACCTAAACCGAAACTTTCGGCCAGGCGAAACCTCCGAACATCCGAAACTTAGTTTCGCCAGAAGCCCCAAATCCGAAACTGGACGAAACTAAAGATGCCTGACAAATTATTTTTGCGATTACGAAATGGTTTCGTCATGGTTTCGTCATGACGAAACCTTGACGATTGACGAAACCCCCGACGATTGACGAAACCTATGACGAATTGACGAAACCTATGACGAATTGACGAAATCTATGACGAACTGACGAAACCCTTGACGAAACCTCTAATGATTGATGAAACATTAACAAGTCGATTTAGTTAGTAATTAAACAACAAGCTTCTATATAATGATCTTTGGGTATACTAAGCCTTAAATTGTTTCAAAAGAATGTTAAGTTTGACTCTTTTTTTCTTCTTCTTTCGCACGTATTTCGGGTTGATCCGGAATAGTCAAAATTTAGATTCCGGATCAGCCCGACATAAATTCCGAACACGTGCAAAAGAAGGAAGGCGAAAACGTGCTTTATTTGTGGATGGCTAAAGTCAGGTACATCACGAGGATAGAGTAAAGGATTTATATATGGTAAAATCGCATTTCCGCCACTTTTATTTAGTGAATAATCTTTATATTTTTCGTGTTTTTGTCTTTGTTGTTTTGCTTTGTTTTGTTCG